CATTTGTTATAGCACGTTATTGGTAATCTATACATAAATGTTTTGCTTGATTTAAAGCTGATTTAAAAGTGTTTTAAAGTGTATAAGCCCCTATTAGCATTGTCTGCAATAAGAGAATGGAGCCCCAGGACCCGGAAGCGCAGCGCGGCGTCAGACTTAACAAGTGTATAATAGAGCAGAACTGTTTGTGTTTTTCGTATCTCGAAGCAAAATATTTCCCGCGAGACCTTTCGTGTCTCGATTATTTCATAACTTGAAGCATTTGTATCTTGAGGTACTACTGTACTTCACAATATTTGCTCTGATAAAAATGTAAACCTTTAAAACTGTTCTTTTTTGTGGCAATGCTTGATATTTATTTTTTTTTCATTAAAGTTCTCAGTAATTCCACCTCAACCCTGAATTTGTACAAGAAAATACAATTTAAAAATATTAATTGTTGTTATTTTTACTGCAAAATCTCAACACTAAATTCATAAATTCCCCCAAAAAAGCAAAGTCAAGATCAAAATGGAAATTAAAAAAAACTGTTTAAACTGTTCCAAGAACGTTTTGTTCCATTATTTTTTTCTGTGCCAGAACTTTGAATACAGGCCATCTCACAGGTCTTGTACTTCCAAGGGTTATCTCTTCTTTTATCTACTAGATGTCACTGATGGCACCAATTTGGGGTCTGTAAAACTGAAAAGACGATTACGCATTTTCTCACATTTTAATTTATCTGGGAAATTATGTGTCATAACTTTTGTTTAAAACCAAAAATATCAAAACTAATTACCTTTTTGAAGCATACACATTATATTTGAAATCAAAATTCATTCAAATAGATGCTGTGATTGGCAAACCCACCGGTGCGTGCATAGGACTAAGGAAGACATCTGTGGATAGTGTGGTTGTATGTGGACAGGTATGTAGAAATAATTTTTATTACAGGTTCTTGTCAGTTTTCAACATGGACTTATATTCACACTGCTAGCCCACAAATTTTCTACTTCCGGCTATGGTGCGCCAACATCTATAAAAACACTATAAGAAATTTAAAAATTACAAACCCTCAATTTACCACTTCACTCAAAGCAAGGCTTCCAACACAGGAGGAAAAAGAAGTTTGTCTAGCCAATATATACAGATATGGCTCAAAAGTTTACTTTTGAACAGGCAGAAAATCATATGCATTTGTAAGACCAGAAAGAAAAGAACCTCATAAAACATTTCCATATACACTCACCGGTCATTGCTGGTTCCCAGTTAGACCTCCTTTGGACCCCCTTTGAAAGATGAGGACAGCTAGATTGAGAATGCATACATATAAGCACTGTATATGCTCTGGTTCACGTTCCAATCGTTGACTCTCCTGCAAAGACTGGTTTTAACGGTTAGGTGGCGGTAATGCGCTTAAACAGCTTCACGTCCCCTGCTAGAAAACAGGAAGAAGAAGTTTTCTTCGCCAGAGGGTGGCGATAATCTCCTCGAGATTTCTATCGTTTGCCTCAGAAGAAGAAAGGGACGCCTGAAATTTGGGAAAGGTAACAGCCAGTAATGTAGTATTTACTAATCATATATTATATTTGTGCTTCCTATGCTTGCTTTTAATAGATTTCACCTGAACTCGGTTGAGTTTTGTGTCATCATAACTTTGCGTGTTAACGTCGAAGAAAAAAACCTGAATAAGCATCCATTCATTCACTCACCGAAACGCATGCATGTTATGTTTTTGACTCCAAACGAAACACAGGAAATAACAGATACTCCGGGTAGTCTAATTTACTAAATCATTATGTGACAGTATTTTCTGCAATATTTGAGAAGCTGTTTTAAAGTTCTTGTGAATTCAATAATTCATCCAACTTAATCGGGCTCCAGCCTAGAAGTTATTGAATAGGCGTGTCTTTTGGGTAGTTTTACGTTTCTGTTGTCCGTTGTGCGGCCGGTAGAGCAAGCGTAACCGGAAGTGATGAATGCTGCAGTTCATAGACTGACCGCTAGAGGCTTCAGACTCCAGAAATGAGAAAGCTGAAACTTTACTGCTAACTAAGCATGTTCATACCCCTGGCTTCAAAATGCTTTCAGTGTATATTGCTTGATTTGACCTTCACAAAAAAAAAACATTTTTTTACTCATGTATTTAAGTTATAATAAAGTGTCACAAAACCCATCTGAAGATGAGACCTGGCTTTTATGGATTTTTCTGCAACAACAAAAAAACTCTTCCACTCCATGGCTACAGTGATAAAGTTTTATCCCACATGTACATATGCAAATACTTGAATTTCCACCACTTCTTCCCATTTTCGGAGATTCTCACATCTCTCAACCGTACTTCAGAGTTTTGTGTATATGCAGCATTGATGGATGATGTCTGTGATCTGCTGTCAGGCCATGCTTTGAGCTCGTTATTCTTTCTGGCCAGAGACAAAGCTATTTGTCTATAGATCTGTAAAGAAACAGCATGAGAGAGAAAGCTCAACCCTCATAAACACATCTGATCACCACACTAACAAAGCCACACTTGGCTGAATGAAGAAAAGTCTGCTGTGTGTTTGTAATGGAAGCATGGATGGAACTAAATCTTGCAATGCTGTGGCTCTCCAGGAACCATTTCCGGCACCCCTAGAGTAAAGTGAGACAGCTGAGGGATGAATGCTATATAGGCGTCTGTTTGTTTGGATGCAGATGGAGGCTGAGATGGGACTGGTAGCAGGACGCAGTCAAAGGGAAAAGAGGCGCTCGTATAAAGATCTGCTGAGAGAGGAGGAAATCATCGACGCAGAGGTGCGCAAAACCTCTAAGAAGCAGATCAAGGTAACCCTCTTCAAATTGTGCTGAGAGCATATGAATATAGAGACGTTGTTGGTGCAGTATTACTACCTTGTGTTTACCACTATTTCTCAACCTCACCTTGGTAGCAGAGGCTGTGTCCCAATCCAGAAGTGTGCATCCTCCCGAGTGCGCATTTTAAGGCCACTTACGTCACAATGGTGCGCCAAGGCCGTCTCATTTCGGCGAAGAGTCCTTTAAATGCACCCTTTAAATGTGACCTACTTTCCCGTGAATTCCCAGGATGCATCGCGACCATCCTTTATGGCCTCATATATCCCACAATGCTTTGTAGTGTTTTTTTTATTTATTTTTATTAGAAATACACAAAACACACTTGAATTTGTATTTACATGTAAGTAACGCATTTTTTAAATTAAAGAACAGTACATTCAACCATTAAATGCTGGTAGTGATAGGCAAATTGTAAAACATTTTTATTATTCTTAACATTTATTGTAAACATCGCGCAGATAAATTAACGTTCACTAATTGGTGGATGTCATTATGTTTTCAGAAGTAGACAAAGTAGTTTATAAAACTTATGAAAACAGAATGAACCTAGAACAACATACTGGTTTAAATTACACACAACATAAAATAGAAAATAAATGTGGGAAATGTGACCAATGTAACCAAAACGAAAACACAGATCATGTTGTAATACAATGTATTCAAAATATAAAAAAAGACAAAAAGAAAGAAATAGAACAATTAAAAATAAACCATAAAACCCTAGAAAATAAATTAAGCAACGAAAGAACTCACAGTGATCTTACAAATTTATTACACACAAAACATAAATATAAAAGAATCACTTAAAGAAAGCCCATTCATTCAATTCAGGATCCAAACTACTGATCCAGCTGGTGGCGCTAATGCACCATAAAGCAAACAGAAACAACAGAAGAAGAATAAGAGGCTAGACCCATTTACCAAGGGGTATTGCAGCCTTGGGAGGATTCTCCCAAGCCTTAGCCTTAAAGGCTGGGTAGGAAGGACCCTCCGGAGGCTTTTAGAACCTGGATTGGGACACAGCCAGAGTTTGGCTGTTCCTCACCCAGTTTCAAGCCTCCTACACAGCTGTTGTTGTTTCAGGTCATGACTGGATTTGACTTTAATGAATATTAGCAGCTGTTTGGCATAACTGGTTAATCAGACACCAGTATCTATACAGTGCCTGCAAGTGCATCCATAAGATTTACTGGTTTCAAGGCAAAATGGTTTAATACCAAAAAATGATTTTGTTTATATTTTTCTTCTCTTTTTTTTTCGATCACTTTGCATTTCGTAAATGTACAAAACTAATCATTATTTATATTTCTGTAAATATCCTTTGATTATGACAGTGTTTCACACCTGTCTAAAACCTTTCCACAGCACTGTATCACATCACAGAAGAATTCTGATAATGAGAGGAATTAACAGAATTTAATGAATGTCTGAGGCCTGCTCAAATCAAACACAGCTAGATTCTGGAAGTGAAATGTTAAAATTAACCAACCTTCAGGGTATAAACCTGAGTGTGTATCTGTTAACAAATGGTGTTCAAATTGTCAAAAAAAAGTCTAAGATTTAAAAACCCAAATTTTACGCGTTAAAAAGTGGTCTTTAGGCCTAAAAAGGTCTTTAATAATTTTTCACAGGTCTTAATTTTCCAACACTCTTCACATTGAGTGTGTTTGAGACTGATTTCCCAGCACGCACTGCATGGATCGGCATATTTGGTTGTTTTACAAAGATGGCTGCCTTAGAAACAACAAATAAAGTGTTTGTCATTTACAGAGGTTTTAAAACTACGAAAACAATCGTTTTTTTGTTAGGTTTTAATTCATTCACTTATTCATTTATTCATTATTCCCTTTTTGGAGTCACAGGGGTCTGTCGGCACACATTGGGTGAGAGGTGGGGGTACACCCTGGACAGGTCACCAGTCCATCGCAGGGCAACATTCACACACACACATTCACACCTAAGGGGAATTTAGATTATTTAATTAACTAACCACATGTTTTTGGGGATTGTGGGAGAAACCGGAACACCTGAAGGATACCCACACAAGCACGGGGGAGAACATGCAAACTCCTTCCAGGAAGGTCACCGGCGAGCCTCGAACCGACAACCTTCTAACTGGAAGGTCACAGTGCTACCCATGTAGTCTTCGCTTTCAAAGTTGACTTTCAAAGACCCAGTGAGAATTGAACTCTGGATTACGAGACCAGTGCTCTAACCATTGAGCTATGGGCCCAAACCATTTTAAGTTGTATATTTTTAAGGAAGTCGTGACTTCCTCTTTACGCTCATGAATCATGAGCCTCCACCAACAGCTATATGTGACTTAAGAAAATTTTTGTTGTACTGGAGGTCACAGATTTCTGCATACTTCATAATGAAGAGATGAATGGACACGACTCCTCTTTTGGAGCAAATTAGTTTGGAACTCTTGCAGTTCGATGGACGTTCTAAATCATTTAATAAACGGATCAATTTTGAAACTGTTGTTTTATAAATAGGAGCTCTGTGTGACGGTGTCTGCTTTCTCCTCAGGACACTGAGCTCTTCCTCTCCGGGGCTGAGTCTCAAAAAAAGAGGAAGCATCATCACCATCAAGAGGATCAGCTCTACAGAGGTGCGTCTAGTTCTCTTCTGTTAGCCCAAGACCAGAACCAGCATCTGATGGTACGACTCGTGTTCTCTCTCTCTCTCTCTCTCTCTCTCCCTTTCTCACAGAGTCTCAAAAGAGGAAGCATTGCTCATCGTCTCCTCCTCAGACAGCCATGCGTCTTTTGGAGGCCATCAGCTCTGCTGAGTCTCCATCGCCCTCCTCCTCCTTCCCTCCCTTGTTCTCTTCTCAGAGGCAGCGAGGTGATCAAAATCACTCGTGGGGTTCAAACAGGAAGCGGTCCTTGCTGGTGAGGGAGGGGCTTCCTGTGGTGGGTGAGGAGGTGGAGCTTGAAGGTCAGAACTCATTGCTGTTTATCTTATGAAATGCCTTGATTCAATGCAGCCAGCAGATGGAGCTGTAGTGCAACCATTCTCGGGGGCTCTCTGAAAAGCTCTATGCTTAACTCTAAGGTAATCTGGGTCACGCTGGTGGCAGTAGAGGCTCCAGCTCAGCAGATGACAGTGTGAGCGACAAGCTCCTGATCCTGGAGTCCTCCAATCACAGCTGCAGTAGAAAGAAGAAGAAGAGCAAGAAGAAGAAGCAGCGTGACAGAGGAGAGCCTGCAGGTTGTACTTATTTTTAAACATTACTTATCAGATTGTCCTGTTGATTTGCCCAGTGCTAGTTTTCAATACTTCTGATCAGAAACTGAAGTTTCTTCTATAATCCGATCGAGATCTTCAGGAGCACAAGAGTGAAATTATAAACAGTGAGGAGACAAGGCTTCACACCAAACTAGAGCCAACAGTTTTGGCAGCTAACAACGCAAGGGTTGTGGGTTCATATCCCAGGGAACTGACAAAAATGTGTTCATGTATTCAAATGTATAAGATAAAAATGTCTGCCAAATGCATAAATGTAAATGTACAATCACTCTACAGTGGTACCTCGAGATATAAAATGAATCCATTCCAGGGTGGCGTTCGTATCTCGAAGCAAGTTTTACATGTAAAACGCTTAATCCATGCAACGGCTCTCAGAAATAACAGAATAAGTTGATAAAAAAATGGAAAACCACAGAAAAATCAAGTAACGTTTATTCAATCCTTAAATCTACACATTGTTAATGTAATAAATGATAATAAAACACACGCAAAATACGTAATATGTACACAAATGTGAAACCTCATCTTGAGAGTTAGGGGATGTGTCTGAGGAGGAGGATCAGGTGGCGGAAGTAATTACAGCACTACGTATGAAAGTTAACTTTCTCAAGATATTTCACGAATTACTAACACCAACACTTTTTCAAGCACAAGCAGAGAGAATACCGAGCGTCTGAGAAGGGATTGAGAGAGCGCTTCTGAGAACGCGTTACTGGGTTTCTCGAACTTGCGCTACAGAACAGCACTTTCCACGTTATAAACGTTATTTTTTTATGACACCTTGACTCTAACATTTGTTATAATACATTATTTGTAATGTTTTGGTCGATTTAAAACTGATTTAAATTATTTTAAGGCGTATCAGCCCCTTAAAGCACACTTTCTTTAAAGGGAGAAAGGAGCGCAAGGCCGTCAGACAAACAAGTAAAAAGAGAGCAGAAATGTTTGTTATTGTTAATATCTCGAATTTTTCTTCTTATCTTGAAGCAAAAAATTTCCTGTGAGACCTTTCGTATCTCGAACATTTTGTAACTCAAAGCATTCGTTTCTCTTTGTCTGTGTTGAAAAAGAAAGACTATTAAAAGATTTGAAACAACAACAACCTCAGACCATCTGCAAGAATACTTTGTTTGGGTCGACATTTTGTCTTCCAGCATAACAACCCAAAGTACATCTCGTTTCTTGTGAAGAAATACCTCTAAATGAGCCAAGAGAGTGAACTTGACTCGTGCTCAGACTTGAATCCAAAAGAAAATCTCTAGGACTCACTAAAGAAATCTTGAGGAGCTTGCGAGATCTTCTCAGGATGAATTATTCCTCAGGAGCAATGTAAGAGTTACAGCAGCAGATGACTAAAGGCTGCTTCTAAGCAATTGGGATTCATTATTAACAGAGGGTTAATCATTCTGATCACTAGAGTTTTATAAGGTTCTTGTCATTCATTTGTCAATCTATTTGTACAGGAACTACAATCTTTCTGAATAAAGTTTTAGTTTTAAAATTGCTATATCTATGAAAATCATCTCTCATCACTTGGGCAATTTCACTGGCTCAACCGCTGCTAATGAAGCAATGGGGATGCTTTAAAGGTGTTTTAATGCTGCATCTCAAACCCTTATTTACAGAGAACTTAAGTCATCATCACAACCAAGAGGAGGAAAAGAAGAAGAAAAAGAAGAAGAGGAAGAGGGACGAGGGAGGAAAACACAAGAGCAAAGAGAAGGTGCATAACCACAAGAAACTGTTCCCACCGGAGATCACTGAACACATCAACTACCGTATTTTTCGCCGTATAAGACACACTGGCATATAAGACGCACCCAATTTTAAATGAGGAAGATCTAGGAAAAAATGATTCTGAACCAAATACTGTAGTAAAATATTTTATATCAACTGTGTAAAAGTTAACTGCAGTTTAAGAACAATTATATGCCAAACATGAACAGTTAGTAAACAGTAAAAGTAACAAAAAAGGCTGTAATGTTTCATACCTGCTCCTTACGATCCGCGTTATGGTAGGATCGACGAACAGAGATCAGCGCGCACCGTCGGGTGTACAAATATGGCCGGAGTGTGATGGGTTTTTCCTATATAATACTACCATCTAGTGGTCATTTAGAGAAATGTAATTTGAGAAACTTTTCAGAGCACACGTCATACTTCAGTCCCGCCCTTCTTCCAGCGCTTGTCTTACTTTGAGAGGCTCTTCCAATGCGGATAACACGTGTGTAGGAAATGCGTTGAGACTGCTAAATCTTTACAATAAATAGCCGCATTTGCTGTGTTCTCTCTCAAACGGTGGTCTCCAGTGTTAATTATGAATTGAGAAGGTATATTTTTACCATAACAGGAGCTAGGCCGAAGCCGCGGCCGCCCTGCCTCTCTCTGCATTCGCCGTATAAGACGCACCAACTTTTCCCCCTCAGTTTTGGGGAAGAAAAAGTGCGTCTTATACTGCGAAAAATACGGTAATCAATTTCCCAGTTAGCAGAAACATCCGTCAACCAGGCTTAGCACCAAAGAACACCATGAGGCGTGTTAAATAAACAAAGGGAAATATTAAGATCAGGGGACGTTAACATTGTAATAGTCACTTACGTTCTTTTAAAGAGCACATTAATTATGGGTTTTGAAGTACAGTAAGGCAGGCCCAGTTTATTTATATAAAACCTTTCATACAAATTAAATATTCAAATGCTTTACAGAATAATTAAAGCTAACTAGTTTCAAATAGTGCCCAAAAAATCAGAGAATGAAATAAAACAAAGAAGTTGAGGAGAGCTCCAGTGTTCTGATATCAGTCAGTAAAGGCATATTTAAATAGATGTGTTTTAGTCTGGGTTTAACTGTGCGCTTGTACCCCTGACCTCTTCTGGAAGCTAGACAGCACAGTAACTGAAGCAGACCCTCCAGATTGTGAAGATATTAACAGCCACTGGAGCTGTCGAATGTTCTTTTTGGGGAGAATTGTGATGGCGCTCCATCCAGCTGCTGGTAGTGGACTTGTTTCTCCAGAGATGTTTTCTGTCGTAGGGTTTCTGTTGGGGTTTTTTTGCAGTTTTCTTTGGAGAATATCCACACATGAGGCCATTTGAGATGCCAACCTGTCCCAAGTCTTTTGCATAGCGTCATATCAAAGAAGTAGAAATGTCAACACAACAGCTGACCAACATTCAACAAGTCAACAAGACGAGATACAGCAACAATGCTACATCAGTCTCCGTTAGATGAAAATGGAATAAAAATACATGAAATCAATTAGGTCAGGACTTCAATTAGCACTCAATGGGAATCACTGGTGTACCGCTGGTCCCATTGTTTCAAGCGTGACGTGGGAAAACTTTGATGCAGTTGTTAAGATTCTCATAATTGTGTGGGTTGAGGGAGAGTTTTTTTTTATTTATTTTTTTTTTATTCGCACGTAACCCACAAAATGGAAAAATCTTTCAAATGCTTTACTTAAGAACAAACATGAAAGACCTTGCAGGGCTTCTGCATCCCAGTCTTTAGTCATTCCCAAACCGGTGACGGTTCTCACGTGCCTTTACTGTCCCCATCCCCTGGAATAACTTCCGATGTAGGGGCTTGTCCTGACCTGGAGATTTTTTAACGTTCCTGTTCAGTGAGGCAATCTCCCTGTATCCTTTGCTCTTTTGTTTCCTGTGTTTTGTCAACGCTGTTTTGTTTCTGTGTTTTACTCTCTCTGTTTCAGAAGAGGAAGTTCCTTACAGCCTATCAAATCTTTTACAAGGAATACAGAAAAAGTGTCCTGGAGGAAGAGCCCGGCCTTGGTGTGTTCAATGTTGATCAATATTCTCAAACGCTAAAGTTCTTTCACTATTTTGCCTTTCCCTCAAAAATGAGCTTTCATTATCCTTTATAATTACCGGTATGTGTATTTTTCTTACATCTGTTTGTTAGCTTAGGCTGAGACTTCATGTGAGGTGAAAGGGAAATGCTGTGTATGAAAGGCTCAAG